GCTTAACATTATTTAACTTCGATGGTTGTACAAGAACTGGTGTTTAATGAAGGGTTTGTCCCAAAATTCTGGGGAGATTACCAATTATGGCAACAGAACTGAAGAAGGCTCTAGAACGTACAATGTTCAAAACATTGCAAGTCTAACAACCAAGATAAGGATACTGGCATGAATAGAAAAGCATATAATAATGATACTTCCTCATCTCAAATATTCCAATTTAAAATCATCAGCACTGTAAAAAAAAAAAAAAAAAAAAAAAACTTTCTATTAACTTTAACAAATACATCATGCACACTTTCTAAACTATTGAAAAATAAAATTGTAAATGCTTAACTGGGGAATAAAAACAAAATGAGAGACTCCACTCTGCCTTCCATCAGTATAGCTGATGCTAACTTCAAGGAAAGTAACTTGTTATGCTTTTTCAGGCTAACGTTCTCAGTTGACATGAAGTGGAAAAACTATATTGAATCCATTGCTAGGTCAGCTGCTAAGAAAGTTGGTTTACTGTATTGTGCTAGACAATTTTTCTCTCCAGAATCTATTTTGCATATCTATAAGTTTACCATTTGCCCATGTTTAGAATATTGCTGCCATGTATGGTCTGGTGACCATGCTATCTACCTTGAGCTCCTTGATAAAATCCAAAGAAGAATCAGCAATATTATTGGTCCTCATCTGGCAGCTTGGCTTCAATCATTTTCCCACTACCATAAAGTTGCTTCTCAGTACTTTTACTATAAATACTTTCATGCTAATTTTTTAGATAAGCTCTTCACTATGGTAGCTAGAATTTTGTATTTAATCATGGTACTAGACTGGTGGCGAGATCTTATCAATTTAAAGTTGAGCTGGCTAGATGTAACCATAAAATTCTATGTTAAGAGTTTTTCTTGCAGAACTCCCTTCTGGCTCCATGCTTTCTAGCCAACTTTAATCTGCAAAAATTTAAATGCAGTATCAATCACTATCTTCCTGATTACTCTTTTCTCTACCTGCTCATTGTTAATGCTCCTAATTCTTCCACAGCCATTTACCCCTTCTGTCCAAGTGGCTTTATTGTCTTGCATCGGGTGGAACCAATTAAAAAAAAAAAAAAAAAAAACTATGTTAGGTATCATTAGTGTTTTTTTGGCATTTATTAGACAGTGATAGAGAAATAAAAAAAATTGTCAGATTACTGATTAATATATTGATAAGAATGACAAAATGTGAAAAACAAATGAAGAAAACCAAAAGTCACTTATAATTAATGTTCTTACTGATTTGTCATAGTCAGCATACATAAAAATAACTTATGGTGTATAATTATTATTTTTCTGATAATAAAAGCACAGACATACCAACTTGCAATGACAAGTTTAATTGCCTGAACATTCCCAACTTCATGAGCTTCCAACCATAACTGCTTTGACTATTTCATCAAATCATTCAACTTTGTTTTAAAGTTCTCTTGTGCTTCATGCCTTTTGATTCTTTTGAATTCAACATAGTGAATCAATAAACTTTTCAATAAAATCTCAGCAATCTACAGAATTTGAAACAGATCTTTATAAACACAATCCACCAAGCTCAGCTATCGTACAAACTGAAACAGGAAAACAGTGATGTACAAATGTGATATTAAAAAAAAAAACTAGTTAACAAAAACAGTTGGCTAAAGAATTATTTCCAAGAAAATCATCATCAGTAGTAATTTCTTCATTATTTTCAGTAATTACCCTTTTGTTTCCAGATTAATTTTCTTTATGCAGATACATGAAGCTTGTAATTTAAATCAGAACAAAGCTGATCAATATAATTTTATTATTTTAGACCCCATGAACACCACTTTAAACTAAAAATTATATTTTCCCAATCCAGCTTAGCTATATTATATTTTTTAGGAAAAAAAAAAAAAAAAACATCTCAAAGAAAATTGGAATAAAAAGTAATAGGATTTTTTTTTATTCTGCAAAATGCCTTATATCAAAGCAATCATTGCAGCACATTGATAAGCTTTGGGGGTCTTTTGCATAAGGAAATTATTTCTCATCTAAAAGCCTTTCCAATATTGATAAAAGGCCAGTCAAATGCAAAAAATGAAGAAAACTTGGTATGAAAAGATTTTTCTATAGATAAAAGAATTTTTTCTGAAAAATAAATAAATAAAACAAGGACATTTTATGAAGAGGAACTGAAAAGTTCTAAACCTAACCAAAATTGGTTGGCCAGATTCTGGAAAGTATGTCAGATCAAGAAATTTTCTTTCGTAATTATAGCAATGAATAACTTGATAACTAAACATGATAAGAAATATGGCTAAGCGAAGGAAACAATGAAATATAATCAATATATCCTCAAGAGGTGATAAAAAAGGCGCTAATTAAATGAATCAGAAATTGTAATCATAACATGTATATCATAAGGAAATTATTAGATGAGGAAAATAACAAAAGCTGAAACATTAGAACTATATAAACACTATCACAAATAAACTCCCAAGCCAATACAATAAACCGCCTTTAAAAAAAAAAAAATAATAGACCTAACCAAAGTATAACTCAAGGAATAAAATTCCTTCTCAATTTATTTACAATGCTCCTGTTCCATAACTTTACACTTTCCCTTGACACAATGAGCTGAGAATTAATAAGGAGAGTTATTAACATCAGAAATTTAATTATAAAAAATATTGTATGAGATATGAATAAACATTGAATTAACAAAACTAGGTGAATCAAACATTGATTATTGACATTGTTGTTGGCACATTAGTCAGTCTAAAATGAAAAACAATAAAAAGATTGTAAAGTTTGAGATTTGAGAAAAAAGTCTAGAGTATTGTTGAGAAAGAAAAGAATATTAGAAAATGCTTGAAATTTGAGGAGAATGAATCTCTAAACCAGCACTTCTTAAACTTAAGCAAATTTCAAACACTTGAATTTCAGATTATATGTTATTTCACAAATGCACAATTGTTGTGTAGTGACAGCATATGTATTTTCAGTGTAGTTGGTTAATACCTGGGGTCATGAAAAATCTTGTGATGAAAAATGAGGTCATGAATGAAAAAAAGTTTAAGAAGTGCTGATTTAAACAATAAAATAATATCAACCAAAATTGTCTTTGCACACACATATAAGAGGAGATGAAAGTTCCTGGTCTAACCAGAGAGGAAAAAAAAAAAAAAAAATGGCTGTTTTTTTCATTTGGTCAGATTTTAGAAGGGCTAAGGTATTTTCAGCACCTCCAATATGTATCCTATATAATTTCATATACTGTGACAAAAATTATGTTGAGCTAGAAAAAAATAAATAAGTAAAATAAAATATTCATTACTTGACTCCACCAATAGAATTTCAGCAATCCAGAACCGAGATTAAGTTATTGAACTTTTTCTATTTGTCTTTCAAATCAATGATTCAAAGAAAGAATTTAAAATGTATCTTGTTTAATTTCATTTTTATACACACAACATAAATGCTAGCAGTAAAAATTCCTTTAAAATTAAATTTTTATAAAGACAAAGTTTGTTTTCATTTCCAGATAAATACAAAATGCTTTCTGAAGATTCTAATAAATATTTACTTGTAGAAGATTTAACAATACCAGACAGAAGCAAAGATGCTCTTTTTTTTTTCTCTTGTTGCCATACAACAGAAGAGATTAGCAAATCTGTTGTAATATTGCTATCACACAACAGAAAAATATTTCATCAAACTGTGTCTGTGTGTGTGTGTATATATATATATATATATATATATACACACACACACACAAGCACATTTGAACAGACTCATGGTTCAGAGATAATTATAGCATTATATAAAAGATAAACAATGCTTTGAAAAAGACGAGAGAAAATACACACAAAATGCCTTTTTTCTTCCAAATGATAATCTGTCAAGCCAGTGATAAATACGGATGCAAAAAGTGAAATAATAACTAAACTATCAAAGTGTATGAGTCAAGAACCACATTATTTGGCAAATAGACTGTTTTTGATCAGTCAATTTCTGTATGGTAGAAAAATTCAAAGAACACCAGCCTCATTTCCTGTTGTTGTTAGGCGAGAAATTATTGAAAATAATGAACATGTGACACCATTGTAACGCAAGTAGAGATGATGAGCATGCCACTATTCGAATGGTTGTCTCTTGCGCAAAGCAAAAAGGTAACTGGTTTATTAGAATACAAAAAAATGGATCCAAAGATGATGCTACCAGCTTGGGTGAGGAGCAGAGTTGGTTTAGCCAATAGACTAGTAGTATAGGCTGCAACCTAGAGGTTATAAAGCTGGTTATAAAAAAAATGTTTTTTGTTTTTTTACTATGGTTGTGCTGAAATAGGTGCTAATTTGGTTTGCAATAAATAGTAAAATAATGGTATTTCTTAAAGGATATTTTTATTCACAAACTATTCTAATTTATTTAAAGTATTTGCAACAAGTTTACTTTAAGCTATGTAAATGTTGCTAAAATATATCATGAGTAAACATTCAAGAGACGTGTGGGCGAGTTAGAAAGTGGCTCCATCTGTAGGTCGAGAGTTGGGGGGGGGTAAATTTCATTAGCCTAGGGGCTCCAAAAGTCTATAATCTGGTCCTGGTGAGGAGAGAAAAAGAAAAAAATGAAAGATTTATTTTATATGCAATAAACCAATTTAAAAAATAACAGTTCTTTCCATTTGATAATCTCAGTTTTAAACTGCTTATAAACTTAAAATGAGTGAAACAGCATATTTTCCAACACAGGTGGTTCTAAAGCTTTTCTGGATTTAAATTCTATCCTTACTGAATTATATTCAATAAGTCTGTTTTTCTTAAGGAGTTTCCAATTTTTTTTAAAGCGTTTTTTATTTGATAAACATTAACTCTTTCCGGCATCATAACTTAAATTACATTCAAGTGTTCGCATCTCCTTGGTGTGTCATTTCTAATGTCAACTTTTTATCATGAAGTTTATATTCCTTCCGATCATTGTGGTCGGTTGGTATTCAGGATGATCAACACCTACAATAATAGTTAGGAGAGGGAGGGACAGGGGGAGGGGGAGAGAAGAGAGAGGGACAAGGGAGAGAGAAGAGAGAGGGGAGGGGAGAGAGAAGAGAGAGGGGAGAGAGAAGAGAGAGGGACAAGGGGGAGAGGGGGAGAGAGAAGAGAGAGGGACAAGGGGGGAGGGGGGACAAGGGGAGAGGGGGGGGAGGGGGGGGGGAGACAGGGGGGGGAGGGAGGAGACAGGGGGGGAGGGAGGGGAGACAGGGGGGAGGGAGGGGAGACAGGGGGGGAGGGAGAGGGGGGGGAGAGGGAGGGAGACAGGGGGGAGAGGGAGGGAGACAGGGGGGAGAGGGAGGGGAGACAGGGGGAGAGGGAGGGGAGACAGGGGGAGAGGGGGAGGAGACAGGGGGAGAGGGGAGGGGAGACAGGGGGGAGGGAGGGGAGACAGGGGGAGAGGGAGGGAGACAGGGGGGAGGGGGAGACAGGGGGAGGGGAGACAGGGGGAGGGGGGGGAGACAGGGGGAGGGAGGGGAGACAGGGGGGAGAGGGAGGGGAGACAGGGGGGAGGGAGGGGAGGAGGGGGAGAGGGGGGGGAGGGAGGGAGGGGAGGGGGGAGAGGGAGGGAGAGGGAGGGACAGGCAAGGGGGGAGAGATAAATGATAAGGACCACTGCTGGAGAGTGAGAAAATTGAAAGAGGCAGTGTATATTGGCTTGTCAGCCCAATACATAGGTGAGGTTAATATAGATTTCATCATAACATGAATTTCTTTCGTTAATAAATAAAAAATTGAGAGATGCCCAGAAATAACAAAGTGTCTCTCTTGTGCAAATCAATCTAGAGAATTTGAAATACTTTCTTAATTTTAAGTTTTGTTTTTCTTTTCTTTTTAAACATTTCATCCCAAGCAAGCCAATAAAGCCACTAAAATGGAAGGGGTTACAGAGTGTGAAAGAATATGGAAAAAAAAAAAAAAGTACCAGGAATAAGAAAAGATGAATTAAGAAGACTGAGTATAATGACTGACATTGCATTTAAATCTTTGAAAATCAAAGTTGACTGCAAAGCAAGTAGCCAGATGAGAGTTCCATAAGTGAGAAGTGCTAAAGAATAAACTGTTAGCATAGAACCAGGGCTGGTGCAAGGGTCTCATGCCGCCCCCCTCATCTATCATACTCCATTTACCGTAAACCAAATCTATGATATGTTCCTGCCCCACTACATCCTCTCAATTTTCCTAAAATAGTATTCATATAAAATACAAATTTTATTGTAACCTAATCATGTACAATAATGAATGATATGCAATATAGGTGAAGAATATGCCTAGAAAAATTGAAAATGAACACACAATTGAAATACAAATTGGAGACATGTCATAATAGATCATTCCATCTTAAATCAACAATGTTTTGATTCAAATCTTTAACAGTTGAATAATTTAAGAGATTAAACATTATGGATAAAAAAATAGTGAATTTTATATAGCATTTTTTTGAGACTTAGCATGAGTGAAACAAATTCATTGATTTGGGAGTGTGGGGAACAAACAATCAAAATGACATCAAAATCCATAAATTTTTCATCCTTTAATAGTCATTTGTGCTTAGATAAATGTATATACAAAAAAGCAAATGCTGATAAGATAGCTAGGATCACAAGCACTGCCCAGGACCCCAAATCAGGCTACAGCTCTCTTCCCTACTCCCGATTGTGGGGGTTCAGGAGTAGCATGCCCTGCACAGAACTTATATTTACATCTAGCAATTCCAACAGTAAAATAATGAAACCTAGCTACTAATCTAGTACTGTGTTTAAATTCATAAATTCTAAATAGCAAAAAGGAAAGCTCATCATAACAATGACAATAATATTTATAGAAAAGGTATAAGGAAATTATGTTATGGCAGTTGAAAAGTGACTGAAATGGAGATACCATAGGTCAGAATACATCATATGTAGAATACATAATTGACTGGATGAAAAGCAAAGCAAAACAACCCGTTATCAGAGTGTTGGTAGTTTTGTAATTGCATGCTTTTAAAATTAGTTTTAAATTACATCTGAAGGGTACATAAAAGGGTCAATGATGAACAATTATAAATCCTACTAATTTTGTGTATGTATTCATGGTTAGGCATAGACACACTGGCTGAACAAATGTATAGCAAGAAAGAAATAAAGATGAAAAAAGGGCTGTTACAATTCCAAAGAATTTTTTTAATCTTTTTTGTTTGTTTTTTTTTTTGCCAGCAACTAAAGATAAATTTCAAAAAATCTGTAACCAACAGTTTTCTACACAAATGTCAATACTTTTAAATATTATGCAGTAAAAGTCTTCTGAAATATTATTCGCTCCTGTGAGTAGGTAATGATCATAGCCAGAGTCTTTTTTGCCTGTAACCAACATTCTTGCCACAGCTTGCTTGTCGCATAGAAATCTTCTTCTGTTCAGAAACATCACTAGGTTTTTTTTATCCCCTTTATCAACTGTTATTTGGTTTGGAGAATTTGCATACATTGTGGTGTCTTGTGTTCTTTGGTCTCGGAAAGTTGCGTCCTTGGTTTGCATGAGGCTAACAAACGAGCACACATGCTACAATCTGGCCTCTTTTCCAGTCAGGTGAGTTCACTAGTCCCCCACCTCACTAAATCAGGACTGAAAAGGACTTTTGCCCATTATGACATCTGTATGTATAAATTTGGAGAATATAACTGTAAAGAAATGTGCTGTCAAAACTACTAAATCTGTTCATAGCATGGCATTAGAAAAATAAAGCCTTTTCTTTGAAAAGCAATGTAATTATGGTAGAATAGAACAGAACTTGAATATTAAGAAATTTGAAGAGGTTCAGTAGGAATTAAATAAACCAAAGTTCAAGATCAGTTTCTTGAATAAGACTCAAAACAGGAAGAATTAATTTTTATAGAAACACTGAAAATATCAAAACTTCTTATTTTAATCTTATGGACTGATATTAAGTCAAAGTGTTCATTTATATTCTAACACTTGTCTTCTAGCAGAGTACCAGAGTAAAAGATGAAACTGATAAAGTGATTTGATTTTGTGTAGTTTTTAATATATTTCAGTGGTTTTCCCAAAAGGCATGTCCTGAAAACCATCATCAATATAAAGGAATACATAAATGTCCAAGTCAGACTTTACCTTCCTTGCAGGTAATTCTGAAAAAGAAAGTACAATGACAAAATCTAAAAAAAAAAAATTGATTTGTATTTGTTCAAGAGTGGCTTTCCTTATTTTCACAGTTCTGAGAATCTTTTATACAGGTTAATATTAATAACATAGTAATCAAAGACAAAAAAGAATGTAATTTTGATTGGCATAGCAGTTCCTGCAAACTGTAGTGTATTATTGAAGATCTTAAAAAAAAAAAATACAAGGATCTTGAAATGTAAATGTAAAAAAATATGGCTCATGAAGATATAAATGATTACAGCTGTGGTTGAGATCTTGGGTTTGATCGGAAAAGGTTCTGATAGACTCAGTGAAGGGATCCCTGGTAGCCCATGACTTTCAGAAATACAAAAAATTGTTTACACAAGCACAACTAACATCTTATGAAAGGTTTTATTTATATAAAATGTGTCATCTTAAATGGTTTTATTTATTTACAAAAATGCTCAGTGGAAAATATGACACTATTTCTGATCTTAGGTCTCTGGTTAGGACCTGGAAAGAAATGAGTATAGAACAGAAATTAAAGGAAATAATGATAAAATAAAAACTGTAAAACAATAAGCTACTCTGAAATTTACTGCTTATCAACGGTGTACAAATAGCTTCATATTTCCTACAACATCAACTAGAGGAATGCTCAACAACATTGTTAGTGAGCGCCATTTTTGTATAGTAAGATGAGGCTTATTACATATCTATATATGCTGTTTAATTATCAAAAGTTAAATTTATTTCAGAAGAAATCATTTGATTGTTAAAAAAAACAGTGAAAAATGTGCTTTCTTTTGTGAGCTTATTGTTATTTGCTTATTTTTAATTTCATAATTGTTTAGAAGCTTTAAAGTTTGTTCTTTTTTTTTTTTTGGGGGGGGTTAAAATCAGCTGATATCAGGTAACTGAATGACAAAATGGAAAAAAATCCTGTTACATGCTGTGTTCTTTGAAAAGACTTGCTAATATTTTTATTGAGAGAATTTTATATACATAAGGGGAGGAAAGGAAAGATAACAAATGTCAGTTAGAATTGTACATCAAGAAATGCTGGAGTAACAGAGATGCTTAAATTTAAATTTTAGAATTTTTGGCATTTTCTGTATCTAGATGCATAACCTCACCAATCTCATCCAGTTTTCTATTGCTCTTTGTTTTTATTGCATTTCTATTGTTGTATTTCTTTCCCTCCCCATTTGTCTGATATATATATATATATATATGAGAGAGAGATATCATATCTCCACAAACCAGCCATGATGGGAGGAAACAACAAATGTGCAGTTTTTTTTTTTTTTTTTAAGGGCAGGGGACAGTTATTCTAATAAAGGTAAATCCTATTATGGACAATTCTCCTCACAATTCAAAACAAATGAAGCTAACCAGATAAATACTGTGCAATGTTTATACTGAAAGATAAAAAAAAAAGAAAAGATGAGGTTATATATCAAAGGAAATGACTGACCAGAGGGCCACCAAAGTGACCAATACAAACCCCCATAATTTCAATCATTACCAGAAGACTCCAGTTTTGGAAAAATGTTTAAACAAACAATAAACAATCATTTTGCAGTGACAGAAACAAAGAAGTTACAGCTTCTGAGAAACAGTGGTGCCAGTCTGTCCGAAAGTGGGTCCTTTGGCAAGATGCCAGTTGTTCCACGAGAAGAGGAGATTTATAGACAGGGAAAATGAAGATGTGCTGCCATTGAAAGGCAAAATGATTTTTGGCCTATCAGTCGAAAAGTCTTTGCAACAGCCAGACAGTTATCGCCAGCATCTCTGAGGCCAGATTATGTCCAAGCTTTGAAGGAGGAGGTGTAGAAAAAGATGTACACCATTTTTTTTTTTTTTTTATTGCTTTGCCTTATTGGGCACATTGCCAACAGTTCTGGCCAAAGTGGGATCTTCAGTTGCTGATGACATTTTCAATTACGTGCGTTTAAGGAGAAATTTAAAGAAACAAGTCTGATATTTGATTAATGCCTTTTGTCTTATTTATTTTTGGCAAGTGGGGTAGGAGTGAGAGAGAGAGAGAGAGAGACAGAGAGAGAGAGAGAGAAGAGAAAGATAATGAAAAGAAGAATAGTGTTTTTTTTTTCCCCCCTCTCTCTTTTCCTTCTCCACAACCAAGTCTAATGACTTCAGGGTATCTAATAACATTCCTCAAGCCCGAGAGGCCATAACTAGACAACCAGAAAGGAAATAATCATGCAAGTCATGCAGCACCAAATAAGTTTTTTTTTTTTTTTTTTTTTTACACACTGAAAGTTTTGTGCTGACTCCACATCTTATCTATAAAGCTTCTGTGTTTTGGGGGTGGGGGTAGTGGCAGTTGATGTATGCGTGGGCTAAAACAAGCTACCTCAATGACATACTAAAGAGAAATCAGTTGAAAGATAGAATATTACAAGTATATTGGCTTGCAGCACTTCAGTGTTTGTAGAAGAATAGAAATAGAGATATTTATCACCATGAGACCTTAATTTAACAGCCTGAATTTGCAAACTGCAATTTAGCCTTTTCAAACAAAATGAAGAAAAAAAATTCAAAACTTCTGAATAAATAGGCTTCATTCCATAGTGGACATTAGTAATAATCGAAGATATCAAACATTTCTATTGCACAAATTTAGTTTAACTGTGGGCACATTTAAAATAGTTTTTTTAAAAAATAAGTAACCAGAAACTTCTCGCAGATGCAAGTTACAAATTGAAGACATTGCAATTGAGCATATACAAAAATTTAACTGTCTGGAAAGTGTTGTAACAGATGATGGAAAATATAACAAGGAAATCCAAAGGATGCATTGGAAAAACAAATATGACTTCAAAAACTAAACAAAGTATTAAGGAACAGGAAAAGTTTGTTGGAAACAAAGCTAAGATTGCTCAATGGCTATGTAATAGCAATCCTCTTATGCGGCAGTGAATGCCGAACAATGTCCTCATGAATGAAGAGGAAACTTGAAGCAATAGAAATGCTGTATCACAGAAGGATGATGAGAATAACATGTAGGGAAAATGTGAGCAATGAAAAAGTTTTATGGGAAACAGGAATGAAAAGGGATGTGTATGAGTGAGAGAGATTCTCAAGCACATAAGGAAACACAGTTTGGAAAATTTAACACTCATAGGACATACTGAGATCAAAAAGAACAGAGGAAAACAGTAAACTACTTAATGAGATTGTTCTTCCATTGATTTACACAAAGACTGAGAAGGATAGTAAGAAAACCAACACTGCTAAGTGCTACAAACAAAAGGAAGTTCTGGAGAGAATGATCACCCACATCATGAAGAGACATCACAAAACTGTTTCCAGTTTGCTGCATAATTCACCTCTGTTCACAAACACTAAATGTAAATCAAGAAAAAGAAAAATACAAAATTTTACTTTGAGTAAAATTTCTAAGCTGGAGAAATATTCTGACTTGCTACTGTCTGGAATCATGTTCTTTGAAAAGAACGTGTAACCAAAGAAAATCAGCTTATATCAGGGGATGCAGATGGAATCAAGTGAGATGGCACATACTGATTTGAATCAGAGAATGCCTGGTATCAAGCACTGAAAACACCTCAAGCCATGCCAACAATTACTAAGACTACTACTGTTATCATTATCATGACCTTTGGCATTACCAATTCTCCGACTTCTTTTCTTTTGAAAATATATTTAGAATTACTTTTTCATACACGGAAAGAACAATATTTCCCTGATTAAAAAAATAAAAATAAAATCATGGAGAGAATAATTTAGGTTCAACTGACAAACATTATAAAAATCTAAATCTGTTCACTTTCAACAAACTTCTTAAACAATAAAAAAAAAATACCTCCAAACTTTTTCACACTTCTCTTAAAATATTTTCACTGTCTTCTCTTGATATTCTTAACTCTTTTTAGCATCATCTGAAATACTTCTTTTGCTCTTGCACCAATTGTTTACTGCCCTCTTTGGTGAGGTTTCTCAATCTCTTCCTTTTTACAAGGATTCTATCCATTTTATTAAAAACCAGAAAAAAATTCTAACTTTTAAACCCACACTGTCTATAAAACAAATATCTGGCATCTGGAACCTCTACATATGACAGAGTCAAAGAATGGACAATCAGATGTTTTAATTAGGAACAAAAAAAAAAAAAAAAAAAAAAAAAAAAAAAGGAAAAAAAAGCATATATATACATTTGCAAAAACTTTCAAAGTATACAATTAAAATAAATGTAAAAAAAAAAAAAAAAAAAAAAAGAACAAAACCAAAATTTGGATATTCTCATAAAATATTCAGGCTGAATTGGAGAGAGAAAATGACTTAAAAGATGAGAATTGACAAACTGGGTCAATTCATCTTTCTTTTCATCCATAAGTGTCAGCTGGGCAGAT